ATGGTATTGTAATGAATGCTGTATCCAAAAGGTGGAGGAAGGACCCTGTGCGTTGTTCTGAGAGTTTCAGGAGATCGTTGGCTACTATTCCAAATCGCTGGGCTGAAGTCAGAGTCAAGAGGCGAAGGTAAAACGTCAAAGACCAGGGTTTCAGTCAGAGGGGGTCGAAGGCTAGATATCCAAATCGCGGGGCTGATGTCGGAGTCGAAAGACGAAGGTAGAATATTCCAAGACCTGAGTATCAATCCGAAAGAGAATGTCTCAATAGCAACGGCGAGGTAGGAGCTCCAAGGATAGAGGCTAAAACCGAGCACAGACCTGAGGGATATGAGGGTTTCAACATCCCGGGAAGTGGAGGGTTTGGTAATTAGTGTGGTGTCGTGATTGGATTATTGATCAGTGCGCTGGCGCTTGCTGGAATTACCCATAGCTGTGGTCGGTTTAGCGAAAGGTCGTTTACGGGAAAGAATACGGTTACTGGTGGACGTGACAGGTGTTGAATAAAAAGTGCCTGCTGAAGGACATATGCTTATTAACAAATCCATTTGGACTTCTTTAAACAAATGTCCCTTCCACACACAGTGCACCCTCTTCATCTTCTTGTTCTGTAGCTCTGTGTGGCACCAATCATCCTTTAATCCAAAATCACCCTGTAAATATCAGACTTATGTTCTCTCTCACAGTTTACTGACTGGGGGCATTCTGCGGTGTATTTTTATTTTCCCAGCTCATGTACAACTTTAATTTCCCCTGCGTAATTTTTTTTAATTCTAAGACTAAATTAAGTATCCTGCCATTCCCTCCCTTTTGGGATTAAAGCTGGCTGAATTTAATACATCATGCAGACATCAAAGCTACAAGGTACAGTAAACCTAAGAGAAATTTAATTAACGTTTAAAAAAACTGGCGCAAAGGATTAGCATGTGATATGGAATTTGACCTGATAATACAGTTCTTCAAGATGGTCATTAAAACCTCATTCAGACTAATTAGAACGGTACAAAGGTAAATGTACCATTTAACTCCACAATTTTATCCTAAACGTATAAGAAGGAGTTTAACGAATATAAATTATTTCCAGTCTTCTGTTTCTGACGTTTGAACTAGTAAATCACATAATTGAGGCATATTTAAATATAATAATACTGTAATAAGCAATTTGTTTTTGCATGTCATTAAAAAATGTATGTCTTTATGTTTTAATAGCACTAAATGGGAACAAGACTATAAAACCACTGTCATTTTGTGTCAGGGTCTCCGTCAGTTGCGCACATTTGAGAAGAAAAGGGTCAGGGAGTGGCTGCCTGCTGCCTTCTCATAAAAAGCTTAATACAAAGATTCCTCGGGTGCTAACCTTTAATAACTGCAACTCCAAGAAGTTCATTGACCTCAAGTTACTCTTGCCTGCATCTGGATGGGAGCCAGCAGGGCCGGCCTTTATCAACTCAGAGCATGTGACAGAAGGACAGCTGACTACAGGATAAACTAAGTCTACTGCTCTGGATTACGTTAACGGACGTACACAGTCAAATACAAATTGAAGCCACATTTGTTTATGGGGATGGTTTACTCTGGAAATGTTGCAGGACAAGTAATGATGTTTGCTTCTCCTGCTGTTTGCAACAATGGAGGGGGATCTTTCCCTTACTTGGCTCAGTCTGTAGTGGAGATATTTCCTGCAGACATGTGAGTGCAGTAACACCCACAACTGTGTATATTTTAGACAGTGAGATCAAAGCTTCAGAGCTCACACCCAAGCCTCTCATAAACCATGGGTATCCCTCTTTAGAACAAAACAACCAGAAACAAAGCATATGAAAAAATAAAACAAAACATTAAACTAGGTATGGCCTGACTTGGGGTCAAAAAAGGGCATCTGAAGTAGTGTTTCAGGTGAGTTCCAGTTTTTTTTTAATTTCAATTCCCCCTTACAGGCTAGTTTCCCACTCAAACACCTTTTTAGACAGTACCTTCACAGAAATGGAGAAGTGGTATAGAAAAACTGGAAATGACAACAACCTTGCGCTGTTCAAATGGATCATTTTGGTTTCAGAATACCTGAAGCCAGAAACATCCTTAGACCTGGGCTCAACTTATTACCTGATACCTCAGCCACATTCAGCACTCAATGATCTACTAATATCTTTCTAAAATACTCTGATTTTTAGTTTGGTGCCTTTCAAACTTGCTCTGGATGTTGTCGTCTAGATCGCCATCTCTTTAACCCCCATTCCACATCCTTCCATCACAAGGCAGGAGGCAGCAAGATGTGAGACCCTGTGCGTGGCTACTGTAACTCCGGTGGAGTCTGGTCAGGAGATAGATTGAGTTCCAAAACAGTGTGGTACCAAACGAGAGACGAAGGCGCAGTCTTAAACGAAAGTGAGGAGTCAAATCCAGTAGGGTTCCGAATCGAAGAGGTACCAATAACGACAGGCGAAGTCGTGGTAAAAAGGATAGAGCTGAGTCGGTAGCCAAAAGGTAAAATTAATAATAATGTTGCTTTATTAGCCCTATACAATTTCTTGCATTAGGAATTCGTCTTTTCGCATACCCCAGCTTGCTCTCCATGAGACACAGACACACAGACAGGGAGAGAAGCTTGGGGTCAGAGCGCAGGGTCAGCCGTTGTACAGCGCTCCCGGACCAGTTGGGGTTAAGGGCCTTGCTCAGGGACCCAACGGAGTAGGATTCCTCTGCCGGCTGCGGGATTTGAACCGGCAACCTTCCAGTCACAGGCACAGCTTAGCCACAACTAGTTTCGGAGCTCAGGGAGACCTCGATAGTGAGCGAGGTACAAGAGTACAAGAGATTGAGGGTTTAAATAGTGTGCGGTGTTAATTGGTGCAAGGGCGCTTAGTGTGACTAGAGCTTGTGAGAATTCGGGAGCGCTTGCATGTTTGTGTGCGGTCCGTGACCCCCACTACGCATTCTTTCGTTTGTCTTCCCATCCACACCCCTTTACCTCTTACTCCCTCGCTTCTCTGAAGGAGCTTTCCTTGCTTTACAGGACGGAATTATCCTCTACATGTAATTGGCAAAGGTATGACAGGGGTGAATACAGCCTGAACAAAGTCTTTTTGATCAGGGTTTTCAGCATGTCTTGAAAAAAGTAAAAAAAAAAACAGTAGTCAAAGTGTATTTTTAATTGAAACTGTATTCCACAGCAAGGGTCTCTCCCTACTCCAGTCATATCTTATACTACAATTGCCAACTGTCATATTAGCTTTTTAGCATACGTTTCCATTTCCTTTTATGTTTGAAACATTCTGCTTTGTTTGAAGCAATTTTGATTGGTCACAAAAATATTTATTTTGTTCACTCCTTCAGTCACCTGCAACCAATACTCTGTAATGTCTGTGTCAGTGTTTCCATAACTGTATGTTTATGAAGAATAACTAAATACATACTGTAGTCATTTGATTAATTTCTCAGAATTCTAACTCTATATGAGATCAAATTTATCACAAATCTCACCAGCCCTCTCAACTATGTTTTTTATTAAAGAAACTCCTATCCTTTAGATAGAGCTTCTCAGGTTGTAGACTGTACTGTATTATTACTTTTGAATGTTAACGCTGAAAACATTCACAAAAGTTTAATTAGTTTAAAAGTACTGTGCTTCTGGAATTGTCCTAGAGTAGTAATTACAGTTCGATATATACTCATTAATTTAACACACCGTATAGGTGATAGCGTAATTATAAATACACTGCACGTGTAACCGATATCACTTCGGCTCAGTCATTCAGAATGATTAATTAACACTTATGTGTTTGCCTTGAAACTCTATGAAAAGTAATCACCATCACTGATTACTCCACTATTCCACTAGCCAACCATAGTCAAATCTGCGGATTTTGTTTTGCTGAGATGTAATTTCTAACTCTAACCCTTGGTTGTATTCGTAAATCTTATACAGTATATTTACCCTGTTTTAAAGACTACAGACATATTAACACATGCAGTAATACATGCAGTGACATAACTGAATAATCTATATAAAACAATAAAACACTGCGCTTCTAGTTTGTCAAGTGTCCGTTCTTGAACTTCCGTTAACCAGCTAAAGGCTGGCTGCTTTACTGTACATACAGTACAGTACAGTACAGTACCAAGACCTGCATTCAAGCTTTGCAATGGACAATAATAAACAAGTACTGTTTGTCTTAAGAATGTGGACAGTAACATAGACATGACATGTGTATCCATTCTGTATATACATATACTGTAAGTGAAATATATGCCCTGAGCATGTATCCATTTGTAATAATTTAGTTATTTGCAATAATGTGATTTTAGTTACAACAATATAACTTGGCAAACGGTGCACGCTAATGTTCAACTTTGAATGCTAACCGTTTTTGAATGAACTTGCAAAACGCAGCGCAGGCTTCAACGTGAAACAGTTACTTGCCCTTTGTACGGCGTTACTTAACTTCTGCAAAGTATTCCTTAAATGACCTCAGTGCAAACCAACGCAGCACAATGCTTATTCAGATCATGATGAAAACTCTTAAATGTTTTCATACAGAAATCTTATTCGACTACAAAGTGGCAGAAGGTTGCAATAAGCACTAGATAATCTTGGGGCTTAGTTTTGGGATCTTTGGCGTGAACACTTACACTCGAGGGACTTGGGTTCCGACCTAACCGTCTTCGCCAGCGTCCAAGTTTCTGTGGTATATTTTTCAGCATAGTTGTTACTGTATTCACCTGTTTGACTCGCCATTACAAGTTCGCAGAAGGCGATGATGCAACAAATAATAGCTGAAGAAAAACAATGACGAAAACTCTGCATGTCTCTACCGCAAATGATGAAACACTAAAAAATGCTTCCCTTTTTCCCATGGGAGACTCCTGTTCTCTACTGTAGCAACCCTAGGCTTCTTCTCTCCCAACCAAGTGTTGATCCCTGCAAGCTGATCAGCCGTACGCAGAACTTGCACATACAGTAAGTACAGCATATCGGTACACATGTAACGACAACCCAAACTCACCCGTTCTCCAGCAGAGTCATGCACACAACCTCCCTCACTCCGGGGTTGTTCGCTTTCTCAGCGGAGCACCACTGCAAATTCCAGGTGGCAAGCCTGAAGACCGGTTTGCCATCACGCACTCCCGAGAAAGCTTCCACATTAGGCCGTACTGCGATGATCTGCGTCGGGCCTCCGGGTGGGAGATCGAGGTCCTCGCTCTGAAGGCTCAGAGAAGTTGGACTGGGATGCGCTTTGCCGGTATACGTCAGACCACCGTTGGTATTAGTGGAGGGCGTTCTGGAGCGCTCGGCGAAAATCTGGAACCTGACTTTATCCAGAAGGGAGGAGTTGATGTGACTGACTTTAACCAGGTCCTCTATGCTTTTGAAAGGTCCGTGCTCATTCCGGTAGGCAACGATGTTTTTAGCGATTTTCTCAGTGATGCCGCGGATGCTCATGAGCTGGGCTGGCGTGGCTGTGTTGATGTTGATGCCGGTGCCCGTCTGGTGCTCATAGTCCTTACGCAGCGAGGTGGGAGAATGTTGCGAGGAGCCGATCCTGTTGCTAACGCATATCTCAAGCTTGATCGCCTCCAGTTTGGCAGCACCGACCCCGCTCACCAAAGCCAGGTCCTCAACTTTCTTAAAGCCCCCTATACACTCGCGGTACTCCACTATGTTCTGCGCCACGGAGCGATTCACCCCGGGCAGTGTCATCAGCTCCTCTTCCGTGGCAGTGTTGATGTTCAGTCTCTCTTGGTTAACCAAAATGTGGCTGAAGTTGCACGCCGCGCTGAACTTGCGTTTGTTCTGAGAGAAGTCAGTCGGATCCTTAGGGATCGAGCGGTGGCACCCCAAATTCCCTCCCATTCTGCTTACCTGGGCATGCAGTTATCTGCACAGTCCACTGTCAGGTACTGTAGTTCCCCAGTCAGACTAACTCGGTCAATCCAGTTACATGACCTGCATGCAAATGACAGTACTGTACGTGGCGAAAATATCTAAAAACAAGTGTTTTACATAGTGCTTTTACAAAATGGCTAACATTCCAAATTCATTTGCTGCTCTTTAAGTTTGTGCCAAGATGATCACATAACTACGTGCAACACCGGGTTAGGCATTACATTGTTTCATATGCAGTTCAAAATCCTTGCAGATTTCCCCTTTAATTCTTCTGCGTTGCCTTTTTGTATCCAGCAAACCTCCCTATATAGCCCTTGCTTGAGTTCCAGCAGCGTTCCGGTTAGCTCTGTGCTGTATCTGTGTTACCTTCTCACTCAGTCAAATCAACTCGCTGTGTTAGCATCAGACGTCATGCACTGCCTGAAGGGAGGAGACAAGGTTTAGCCCTGACTAATCACATTCGCCCAGAGACGGGTTATATTGTTCCAGAATGGATCAAACTTACAACCACGCATTCTACCGAATAGGTATCTTAACTATACCATACTTTTTTATCCTTTATCTCAGATGTTGCTGCTTTGACCTATTTAAATATTGCTGTGCAAAGTTTAAAAAACCGCCCAGTTTAGCTGTATCTATTTGATTTCAAAAGTAGTAATAAACTTGCCAGCAGTTTCGATTGATTGCTTTAACCTTTTAACCAAAACATAGATAACTTACAAACCCCCCAAAATACGTAATTCAGAACTCATTAAGGACCATCTTACACAATAACTAGAGGTTACACATCTTTTGTAAAATGAAAACAACCTGAATATAACAATCGCTTATAAAAGTTTAACGCTGTGCCAAAGCGCAATTATCGTTAAAATACATGATTAAATCACGCGGTTCGTTTTCATTGCAATAAGGACATTTGTACACCCACTTTAGTTAGGACATTTTTCCTAAATTCATCAGAAAATAGGAAAGGTTGTATTAAAAACGAAGAAGAAATAGCATAATTTTAATTTGGGATTCTGAGCAATAACAGCAAAACCTTAAAGAAGATTACCCAAATCCTCTTATTTCCTCTGATGCGAACTACATTCACAAATACTAAGTATGAACATTGGCCACGGTGCTGAGATTGACCGCAACTTGACTAATTCTTGTATATTTTTTCGCAATTCTATTTTATTTGCCTAACCTCGAGTTTTTCCAAAACTATCTCAGACTTGAAAATATTAAAATGTGTAACGTTTTTTAAGATCTCCTTCTGTGTAGTCAAATCAGCGAAATTCACGCGGTTTGAATAGAGGGACTTTGCAACTGGTTTCGAAATGTTCGATCAAGCAGTTTTCTGAGTGGCGAGAACTTCTTTCGCTGTCTGTGACTTTTAAAAAGAATATAAATACTTGGTTTGTGTTCTTTGAAATGTTTTCAAATTGGCTTCATTGCCTAAGTACTTTTTGGGGATATGTTGGACGTTTTGTTTCACTATCATTGCATTCAAATTTAAATGGACTAATTAGTGAGCCTATTCAAGATGGCTTTCAGACAGGGAAGTTTAGAGACCCTACTTGATGTGTATAAAGGATCATATTCATTGTAGTTAAGCTTTCCTGTATTTGTTTGCATTCTAGGTGTGTTAGATATTAACATTGTGAGAAATAACTGATCCAAAAAGACCAAACCTTTGGCAAAACTGGCACTGTCTGTTGGTGAAATCTAAAGAATGCTCTGGGTAGGGACAGACTACTTGCCTAGTCAGTATTACAGACATGAGAGATCTGTTAACAAAAAGTCAAACATATACTCTGAACTCTGAAGTTTTTTCCATTTCCACGTGTGCATTATTTGAATGGTTTAAGTAGTAAACTAAGATTAAGAACGTAGTTGCAATAAGTTCTAAAACAAACTCTTTCAAAAGTTTGTTTGTGTCTACATTTAATATGTTTAGTGATCAGTTGTTTTCAAAATAATAAACCTGGAATCTGTATACGTTTGGCGAGCAGAACAGAGTGCAGTACTGTGTGTACTGTAAGTGTGTTAAAATAAGCCTTGTGAAATGTCTTGCTGGTAATATAATTTTCAAATGAAGTTTTTATTATGTTTGGTAGAGTATTTCAATTAGTTACATGTATATTAAGATTTTTTTCTTACAAATTGGAGTGGAAATAGAATAAGAATATCCACCCAGCCATTTTCCAACTGCTTCATCCAATTCAGGGTTGTGGGGGAGCCAGACCCTATCCCAGCAAGCAACAGGCACAGGGCAGGATAGTACAATAACTTGATTTTTTTCATTCCCCCAAAGGGACGTAGACTTAAACATCTCATTGACCTGTCTGCAGGGTCCTGCAAAAGGCAACAGTAGGGAGCAATTACAAACATAATCATTCAATTAAGTTCCCATGTCACCGATAATATGACATGAACTCAGGAGGCCCTGCATGAGGAGCTTGTACGAGGAAAGACTGGTGACACTGGAAGACTGCCTGATCATTTCCTTCCCTGTCACCATGCTGCGATCTGTAGTGTCTGCTTGTCTGTGTACTTTCAGGGGCTCAGCAGGCAGGAGGAAGAGAGCCAGAGTTTTAAAACTGGGCTGTGATAAAGGGAACTGCAGCATTGAAACCAGCTGGCTCCTAACTTAAGAGATACTGTTACAGAATCCTCAGACCTGGCAAAGCCCCGATTAAATGAAAAGAGGGCATTAAATAGGATTACCATAAAGTTAGCATGAGAAATACAAATTCCGGCAAACATCCTGCTCTTTATGACTATATGTCCAAAGAAATGAACTGCTTTAATGCTTTAAAAGTTTATTATGGTAGAGTTACGTAGGCTTCACACGATGGTGGTTGCCTTCTAAACGATGAAGAGATCTGATCCAAGTATCAACAGTGAAATATGAATCAGGGGACATTGTTTTAAAAGCCGAAGTGCTTTTAAAACTGAGAACAGGAGCCACTTTTATACACAAAGGGTTGTGTGAGTCTAAAACAAGCTAATTGTTTTGCTTAAAACTGCTATGTTTTTTAAACCATCTTTCAAGTGATGAAATGATGGAATCTCTGCTGTCATAGTGATTAATCATAAGCATATATCTTAACGTGGAGCCTTCTTCGGGTGTAAGCATTTCATAATACACCCGAAGAAGGCTCCACAGCTGAAATGTGTTTTGTTTCTTCTCTTTTCAGTATGGAATAAACCTATCACTCGTTCCTTTGCAGCCTACGCATGCTGACGCAGCTGACTCACCTGAACTACTCATGAGATGCTCTTGAATGTACTGTATACAGCCAAGACTGAGACAGAAAAAATGTTCTGTATTTGCTATGTTTTTAAACATAAAATCAAGTTTAAAGTGCACTTTAACTACACATTGTTTAGACCCTCTGTGTAAATTGCCTGCATTCTGAATAGCTAAATTAGGTGTCATATGCCTTCTGAAATGTGGACAATGAGAATTTATGCGATGGTGATTAACATGACTCTAGCTTTCTTTGTGGCAGCAAAATAACATCTTATTCATGTGTTCATAAATGATAAGAGAATTAAATGTTTATTTTCTGGCAGGAAGGAAATGAGGAAAGCATAATGGCCCTGCCCTGTATGTGAACTATAAAGGAGCCTGCTGTTTGGGTGTTTTTATTTGTATATTGGTATTGGAAATAAAATATCCTCATTCAAAGCACATTCTTGAAAAATAAACAAAATACGAAAAAGGGTATAAATAGTGGTCAAAAGTGTTTGATATTTTTGGTGTCTGTTATTTTCTAAAGAATGCACTTCTTTGAATGTGGAGAGTATATTTTCAATACCAAAATATAAATAAAAACATGTTCATAAGATATAATCAAAATACTAAACCGACATGACTAAGACTTGCAAAGAAGCGCTGTTTATAAAGTGCAACGCTGTGCCAGACATCAAGATTAAACATCAACAAAATTTGATACAAACACAAAATACTCTCTCCATTGCTATAAAATTACACTAAAATACTAGAAAGGATAAAAAGCAGGGAATCTTGCAGCACACAATATGAATATTTGACTACACTAATATCATTATGATACAGTAGAAGGTGAAATTACATGAGAGAATATCAGGTTATTGATATATCGCATTAATATTCAGTAATAATGGACCTTAGTAATAAAGAAGACCTGGAAGAAGGTCAGGCCTAACCTGTGATGGGATTCAGCACATTGTATTTTGAAAACAACTTCCAGGCTCTGTGACGTAAAATAATTACATTTTTTGTTTTCCAAGAAAAAAAAACACATTTCCCTAGCAAAAAAATGAGATATCTGTATTATGAACATTCTCTTTTCCTTACATATGTCCTAAAGAATAGGCGTCACCACTGAAACAGTAAACAGAGCTGACTTTCACAGATGCAACCTTTGTGACTTCTTATTTTGCTTATTGGGTTATTCTGAAACTTGCTCTCATTTCCTTTGTAAGACCAAGATGTACACTGTTGTACTCCTCTGTAAAAAAATCATCCCTAAAGCAAGATTGCATTGCATTTCCAATGTTACTCCAAAAGAAATGTTCTGTACTGGACTAGCATTCTTTAGCAGTGTTCTTGTACTGAAATGATAAGGTTGATGTAATGGATGCCTTATAGTTACTTTCTGCCTCAGCAGGAGCACTGAATGTTTCTCTTCCCTGACAGCCTTTCCTGTAACTGCAGCACCAGCACATTAACAATTGTAAAGGAAGGTGTTTAGAACAACGTCCAGTGCCTCTGACATTTTACTCACCAGAAAGGAGCTGTGTCCTTTTTTAATGCATTAAATGCATTAAAAAAGTATGAAACTGACTTTGCTTAACAACTCAAAATGTTCTCTTTCAGCCTCATCACAGTTGCCAGTAGCACTTGTAAACCTTGTCCGTGATCTAACCTTTCACTCAGTTTAAAGTCTAACCTCTGTCCTGTCTTTGCCCAACAAGTCCTACTCTTTCCTAAAAATTCCTCATGGGATATTTCCACTAATCCTCATAATGAACACAGTGTTATAGTTTAATTTGCCTCTAACAGCTGCATGTTATCACGATAATGTGTGTTTTAGCCTGGGTATGTGTACATTCCTGAAAGTATAAACTCATAGAACTCTTAGGGATTGTTTTTAAAATCAATTAAACACGAAATCCCCAGTGATGAACTGTGGACCTCTTTTAAAACATCCTTTAACCCACATTAGGAACGAGTTATAACAGTACTTCCTTAGATCTGAATAAACTCAATGGTTAAGTTAGGAACGTATTTTGTCCTCATTTTTTTAAAAGTGAAAATTGCTTTTCCATTTCCTTTCCTGGTTGTTTGTTAATTTGTTTGATTACTCAGTACACGTGCTAACATGCCTGAAAGAACA